TGACTTCTAACTATCGGTTTTTGACTTACTACTTGACTTGGACTTGCAAAAAATGACCTGGACTTGCACATTATGACTTGTTACCAACGCAAGTCAAAAACTATTCAATCGAACTCACTGCAGTTTTAAACTAGGCCTTTCAACTTACGTCTTGCGTCCTTAATATAATGTTTTCTTAAGGCAACATCTGGATTACTTCGCTGTTGTAGTCTTGCATATTATTGTTCGACTGTGCTTACGTTTTCCACCCCCCCCAGCTTTCCGGGGGAGCCAATCAACAGCTTCGTTTGAGTTATGAATTATTCATGTTAGTTCAGGCTGCACTCAGCCTAGAATTGAATTCAAACATGGCGTCTCAATTTCAAAGGCCAAAACTTTCCGCGTAAAGTGCCATGCCTTCAAGACACGCTAATAGAATATTTTTCGGCCAGAATTGTCTGGGTTCGTGCGTTCCTGCTTGTGTGGATGCGGGGGATGTCCTGCTAACTTGATGTGACTCCTTGGTAATCGTCGATAGGACAACAGAATTTAAGGACTTCAGATCTCATTTTTGACTAAAAGTGGTGACAAGCTGAAGTATTACGGACACTGAGCTTAACAGTGAAAAAAAGATACAAAAACAAACTTCGAGCAACACATCTACTTCAATTCACTCTTTGAAAATAAATGCTTGATGGCACTACGGGGCTTCCGTAAACAACAAATATTACCACCCCAAGTTGATTATTGTCCCTGAGGAGCTGGATGCAATGGGTGGGGCGGGGTCATGGTGAACCGCTCAACACCTCAACGAATCCCAGAAAATCCAAGTTTGTGCAACAGCAAAACGATAAAAGAAATACCGTGCTCGGCCTCCAAATCTATTTGAAGTAGATTTCAGTCATCATTATTGACCAAATAATTTTCAACTTACTAATACGTGTTTTTGCTCTATCATTTTGTTGACATAATTTAAAGCACCCCAAACGTATTGAAGGCATAAGAAAAAAACTGAAGAAGTTCCTGTACAATTTAAAGCTGTGTGTACAAACATAGCCCCTCTTCCATCTTACCTGCTTGTGATATCCGGGCTTCTGCACTGCATCTCCAAGATACCAGAAAAAAAGTCAGCATCATCCACGTAACGTGCAGTTCCATGGTAACCAGTTACATTAGTTGTCAATTCGTTTCACCAACAGATAACTACAGGCCTCGGGATAGGGGAACGACGATTAAGTGCGTTTGGAGGGGCTGCCGGGATCGCTTTTATACTAAGAATACAACTGCTCGTATAAAACAGATATAACAGATGACACAAAACAAACAAGAAAATATGAGGCCCTCCCACCACTGGTAAAACTAACAAGAGAATTACAGACTTAAGTTTGCAAATGTTGCGACGTCAGAAACCAGTTAAATCACGAGCAATAAAACATGAGCCAACACACTGTCAGTCGAATATCAGCAAAGTGCAGCAATTATGCGTTAGCAATGTCTATAAGTCATTAATAACTTAAATTGGCACCAAAGGGACTTGTTAAGAGTTGTTTTTTTCTTTGGAAATTGGCGTATTTACTCTCATTAGTCTGTCAACATATCTGAAATCTGATAAACACTTCTGTGTTTTCAGACTCGGGGGAGGATTGACAGTATGATCCAAGATCTTTAAAGGGGGCGTGCCCCCTCCCCAAAAAGCTTCTCCAATTCCGTTGTGGTGAATTTATTAATAGACAGAACTCGACCTACACTGGTCCTTGAAAACTAATGCACCAACCATGCTTCCTTCCAAAAACTTCTTAACGGAGCCCGTGGATTCACGCGTATCGGCGTTGCTTGCATTGTTCGTCGGTGATTTCTCAAAACATCAACAGGAAGGGTTCTGATATCGTATTTGTATGGATAATCTTTGCTAAGCACACCCTGCCTTCCCGTCAGTGGTGTAAATTTGTGCCGGACATGTGGGGTGATGTGGAGGATGGTTAATTATGGGGCGGTTGACTTTCCCAACCATGGAATTTGAAGGGGGGGGGCTGACATCATATGACAATATGTGCGGGTGATGCTCATGATACAGATGTACATCTGTAATATGTACTACATTCAAGGAGAATTATACATCAAAATGCCACACTTATGGCTACTTTTATTGTTCTCCCTTTTGAAGTGATATTGGCTTGGTTGTTGGCAAGTTCAAAAAATTCACCACGAAAAAGTGTGTGGAGGGGCCTGAGTCCAGACTCGAGTTCTAAAGCATAGTTTCCTGAGACATCGATACTAATCATTCTTTTCCAATACATTAGAACCTACTGCATTAGCGTCGTAACTGAGGTGTAACTATGGGGGCACCTGGGATGGATGAGTTCACTCACCTAGAATGAGTTCAATCAAGATTTTTTTTGGGGGGGGGCATGTTTCATTCACCTGCAGTTACGGTGCATCAAACTAAAGCAAAAGAATGAGCTGTCACTCGGTGGTGAAAAATTGGGGTTCGTCCATAAGGCGAAAAAAAGTCTCCGGTTTCTGGTCACCGCGCGCGTTGCCGTAGACATGTGCGGGCAAAATAAAGAATTTATTTTATTTTGCATTTCCAAAAAAGCCGCCAAACTTACTTGATTGGCAGGAATTCCTGTAGTGCGTAATTTTAACGTGTTTTCAATGGTTGGGGTTGAGTAATATGTACCGTGAAGGAATCCCCCAGGCCTCCATACATTTCATTCGGGCACTCTTAACAGATAACGTCATTCGTGTATCTTCACACGAAGGCCGTGCCCGAATCAGTTGGCTGTGGCTTGATATTATGCATGATTCTATGGGAACTGGCTGTGGATGCTGCCAAATACTGGGTGAAATTCCGGCCGTAGCCAATTGATTCGGATCCGGGCCCACGTCTGTAACCAGACAAACGAAGTGGTCTTACGTCATGCTTATGTACACAAATTGAAAACGCTTTTAAGCAACAAACCGTGAGGGGCCAGTCGATTTCAGTGTTGGTGAGACATGTGGCGGTACATAGTGATGCAGTGCATGCAGTGGCGATGGGCATCGCGTTATGACAATACAGTCATGTAACAACTCATACATCGTCACTTGCTAAGAACAAAGGCAGATTATAGAGTGAGAAGAGATTTATTTTCTGAGCTGAATTTTTTCACCAATATTTTATATGCAACTTCATATAAGCCAAAACAGAAAACAATGTGCACCGTACATCCTTTACCTCATGAGAATTTTATTTTCATTTTGACTCTGAAGCTGAACTGTTTTGATTTATTTTTTCATAGGCTATTTGACGTGCCACTTGTTTCCTCTAAGCTTAAGCAGAAAACTATGTACAAAGAATGTCACCTCAATTTCATTTAAAACTGGAAACTGGAGCTGAACATTTATTTTTCACATTTGAATTTTTCCATGGTTGTGCTACTATATTTTAACAAGCTCAATCTTGCCATGAATTGAAGCCTCTTGTTTGAGTGAGATGACTGAAACCATCGCTTCTCGTCATATTTTAATTCACTCTTCTCAGAGTAACAACGATATGCGCTCTAAAGTATATGTGCATGTACGTCACTTCTAAGAGGAAAAAAAGAGGGGGGAAAAAACGCTTCACCGCACCACTTTTGGACCAAGCCCGTGACCAGAAACCGAAGTCTTTGTTCTTTTTTCTCTTTTCCTTTTTTCTTTGCCTAAAGGGGTTATCTAAGCTGTTTCAGTATAATGTGCAACGTTGAATAAAGCTTTTTATTTTTTTAACGTCGTGCTGTAGTTACAAAGACATAGAAATTTTTCTTACTCCTACTTCGGTTTAATGACGATCAAAGATTAACCTAAAGAGTTAAAACAAGGAGGTAATCGTTTATAAATCTATGTATAAATGTGAAATTTGAAATCCATGTATAAGATTGAAATCGTTCAAGTGATTGGATTGAATAAAGAAATTGGACACGTATTTTTCCAGACGTGGTCACAGAGTGATACAAGAAGAAGAGTCGTGCCAAGCTCTAAACACAGCTTTTAGGGTATTGATGCCAATTAGTGATAATCGTTATGAGTCTCTGTGGGGTTTTCATTTTTCCTGTAATACCCCATGGCTCCGATTATGTACTATTGTAATATGCTTCTAATGAGACCAAGCCCTGACATAACAGTTTTTGTTCTCATTACGGTGCATCCAAGAGCTCATCTTTAAATTTGGGACCCGAAAATCAGTAAAGGTGGATTTTATTAAAAACTGATTTGCCCTCCTCAAGCGGTGTATCCAGCTTTGGTGTCGGGGGCACTAACGCGAATGCGGCTTCGGGCTCATTCAACATGATTTTTTTTTTTGGGGGGGTATCAAATCTTTACTAACGGTCCCGACATCTTTGCTCAATTTCGAGTGTTTTCTGAGGGTTTAGTCCTAATATTTGACAAATAAAGATACCGATTACCATCTTTCCGACTTACCTATAAAGTATTATTTGTAGAAAAAAATCCATGGGGGGGGAATCCCCTCCCACTTGATACGCCACTCCCCTCCTCCCAGAAAGAATCCTGGCAACATTGCAAATTGATGAGGTTCAAAAGCGTGCGAAGACTGACGGGGATGAAGCCATGGGGCGACACCCCGAAAATGAACCGTTAAACGCGAATTTGTAACGTCAGATCAAATATTCGGACCATGCAAATTCGCAAAAGTTGAACACATTTTCAACTCAGCGAAATTTGGCTGTAATTTTTTTTGTGACGTCAACTAAGCTGAAAGTTGCTATCGCGCGCCTCCTGAAGAATTACCTTGCTTATGCAGTGGATGGTCTGAAACCCGATTATAAGGCTTGTCTGAACAATACGGAAGCGTATTGCTGCCAAAGCGTTAAAGCGACTTATTGTTACGTTTAAACGACATAGTTATCTCGTTTAAATGACATTGTTATCTCGTTAAAACGACATTTAAACGAGATGACTTTGTCCTTTTAAACGAGATAAAATAATTTTTTTGCGTTGGCAGCAATATGCTTCCGTAGAATTGCCGCAGCCATGTCATTTGGACAAGGCCTTTTGTTTGCATCCAGAACAAGACACTGCGTTGAATAATTTCCCTAGTGCTGCTTTCGCCCCGAGTCTGACCGTCCATGCCTAGAAGACACGTATGAGGGTCAGTTGCTGGGGCGAGTTGTCCTCTGAGTTGTTGTCAGGCTTATGAGAATACAATGCCCTCGTGATTGTGGCTACACGGTACGGCTTATCTTGCTCCCGGGATATCCCAGCTGTCGAGCGGGAGGTAAACAAAAGCGATCCTGCCTGCCAATTGTCGTTGCCGAACAATGAGATTATGGCGAACAAGAATGGATCCGAATGTCTGGATGAGGACATGCAAGCTGATCTGACATTCAAGATTTTGGTCTTAGGGGACAGCAGTGTTGGTAAAACCTGTTTAACCTGTCGGTTTTGTGAAAACGCATTCGTAGGTTCTAGTTCTACGCACGCACCAGTGCCTACCGTGGGTAAGATACATGTTGTTTTTACATGTTGTATGCTGCTGTGAATAGCAGCATCTATGTTTGCAGTTACATGTACATGTGTAGGAACTTCATGATTTTAGAAAAATTCTGTGGAAGCCTTTCATGCATGCAGTATACCCCACCATTTTTATTATTCTTACCAACATGACAAACCAGGTCAGTCCCCTCAGAGAAGACTGGTCTAACTAGAACTCTAAGGATTCAGATATTTTCGCTGCTAAATTTTACTTGTAAGGGGCATTACTTTCAATTAAAAGGGTTGAATTAGGTCACCACAATAAAGATTAGTGGTTATGAGTGCGCATTTTGTTCAATTTGCTGTAGGTCTGAGTTAATTTGAATAATTTACTATTTGAATATTCGACCTTCGATTCAATTGAATATCCAAATATGCAGTCATACCGAATGGCAAATCGTTAATAAACAAACCATACATACAAAATCAGTTGCAATAACACACATAATTGTATAGGTGCATTAATCACTATGTTCTCATGTCTAGGAGCACTAGTAGTATCCATCTCCGGCCAGGATTTAGCCAAATTTAAGAGACGAACACTACTTTTTGCCCTGTTGAAAATTTCTATTCCTTTTAGTACATGTACATTGTTAAATGAATAATTTACTTTTTGAATCGTAAGATTTCTGTCGCTTTTCAGTTGAATCTGCTTGAAACAAGCCTCTATAGTGCAACTTTTCTCATTTAAAACAAAATAAAATTCTTCTCTCCTTTTCATGAATTTTGCCTTTGAATATTCAAATTCGGAAAATGATATTCAGTATTTTATAATGGATCAAATATTCGGATATTCGGCACAGCCCTAATTCGCTGTGGGCCTGTAGAGGATTTTCAGACAAGTGATATTTGGAGGTCATTGTCCAATTGACACAGATGTTCCAGGAAATGCACACGCCTTCAAAGTCTCTCAACATTCGGGTGTACGCGAGTTTGTTTCTGCATTCAACTGGGGACCCTGAACAATAGCGGACAATAAGGTCCCTGATTGACGGAGGGTCCCCGATTGACAA